GTCAGGTACTGCAAGTGAAGGTGATCATGGAAACTCAGGATGACAGCCTGGACATTGTGAAATTACAACGCGTCGCGCTGGGCTTGGTGAGTGTCACCTTTGTCGGTCTGGTGCCGAGCCTGATCTGGATGGGCGACTAACCGACACTGGTTCATACATCTAGGATGTTCCACCATCACAACATCTCTTGAATGAGCTTGAGGTGACTGAGGACCTGCCTTCGGACACCGTCGACCACGGACGCCGCCACATTTCGCATGAGAGCGTGCCGCTTGCGAGCCAGGAGGCCACACGGAAGTCCCCGACGCATCAACCCCATTCGCCGTCCCCCGAACAAGGACCCGACATTCGCCCTCGAGACTCTCAGCATCTGAGAATGGACACGGCAGACTCGATGCCGTCGGATACGCAGGTGATCTCGCAATCGGTCTACGACGACGTGATACGGCAGAACAAGGAGGCGGCCACCACGGCGGCGTTCGATAGCAACCTGGGGGATCGTGCGACACTCATGACTCTGCATGAGGGAGATAGTGGCCATCTTGATCTCTTGTCGGGTTTCGACGCCACCAATATCGATTCGACTAATCTGGAAGATAACGATGACCAGAGCAGCTCCAAGCTAGGGGAGTCGTCTCCTATGGTCTACCAGCCAAACCTCTTCCCCGAATCACAACGGTTCCTATCGAAGACTCCGGCATCGGCTGCGAAGCTGGGTCCCCCGGGTACCCCTGCAACTGGAACCCCCTGTGCCTCGCGAAATCCGCTGGCGGCGAACGTTGAATCGAGCGGGGGGATTATGGCCCTGAGCCAGGTTTTTAGAGCAACTCAGGTCCCGTCCTCGCCGTTGGTCAATGGGCAGCTATCAGAACCGCTGTCTGAACGGCCATCGCCTAATCTTCCGATCCAGAACCATGCGCCTTCGCATGGCCTGTCGTCCCCGTTGCATAACCTCGCGGCCACCTTTCCGCAAGACTCGTCGGAGCCACACCTACACTACATCACTATGAAAGAATCGCAGTCTCGCCGCGACAAGGCCATGCAAGAGAGAATGGCCCGGTCGGCAGAAATTGTTTACTCGGAGGACCAGAGCGACGGCGAATTCGATAAAGAACCTAGCTTCGTCGAACAGCTGCGGAGACAGAAGACGATAGATGCGGAAACTACAGCGCAGTTCGCCGGCCTCACGGCGCCTGCGAGGTCACCGAGCCAGCGGAAGCGACCCGCCAGTATGCGTGGCATGTCACCGAGTGGGCGGCCCGAGCGACGGAAGTGGCCGGTGCCGCCTGTGCCCACGGCCTTTGAGGATGACATGCAAGAATGCGCCGCTGCTCCCGTCGTTGGAGTTGCCAGTGAAGAAGAAACAGAACAGGAAGAAGACTTGGTCCCGCCAGTACCTCGGTCTCAAGATCCCGACCCTTCAACCGAGGAAGATAAAGAAAATTGTCTGGACAATTCGCAAAACCAACTTGATGGTGCGGGCAGCGCTCACGGCCGGCTGTCTCAGGTCCTTGATCTATATGAGAGCTCAAACAATAACCCCAGACAACCAGTAGCGGAGTATGTGCATCCGTTTTCAAACTCCCAGGAACCCACTGCAGATGAAACTTGGAATGGAGCTGGTCGGTCATCCCAGGTATTGGTTGTGAAAGATTCTCAGAGATCTCCAGAGCCTCAAGATGTCGATGGCCTTGAAAAGGCCGCCGTAGACGGACCGTGGAACGGTAACCAGGTCCTCAACTCTGGTTCACGACACCATGCTAGTCCTTCGAAGACCACGCCGTCACCTACGAAAAACCTTGGCATCCAGTCATCTCCTCCCTCCGAATCTCAACGCAGCCGAGTCTCATTCAGGCTTGACGATCACAACACCACAGCACGGGCCAGGTCACACTCCGCCGGCTCGGATGTTGGTGCCTCAACCAGGCTTCGGGTTCCAGCCACCCAGGAAGACAATGGAGACTGGCAGAGCATTCCCGCTACGCAAAACCACACAATCCCCATCGGTAAAGTGCAAAAACGAGACCTCGGAGAAAAGTCGTCGTCAATGCCATCTCGTGTTGCCGAGACACCCATCCAACGCCCAGGGAGCTTCGGCGATGCTGTGCCGTCGACGAGGGTACCGGAGACGAGTCCTAGCCGCTTCCCTAGCCAGGCTTGGGCCGTTGACGGGAACAACGATGCCATGGATCAAGAGGACGACGACCTACCCCCTGTTTACGTTGCCACGCACGAACGAGCTAGTCGTTCCCAGCCTCTGTTTTCGGATAGCTCCTCACCCGCGAAAGACTATTTCCATTCAAAGATATTCTCCAGCCCGAGTGGAAGACAGCGCAGGGCACTCACCGAGATTGCCGCGGATGTCTCGCCCTACGCTGATGCTGGTCGTTTTGACGTCGATATCAACATATTATCGACAGACGATCGAGATTTCAGGGCCGCAGTCGCAATGTCACCAACCCCAAAGAAGAAACGTCGTGGGAACGATGGACAGGGTCTTTATGCATCGGATCCTATCGTCCCAGTCACCCCTCGTCCGTCTGCCTTCTTCCCTCCTCCTCATCGAAATCGTATCCCGGAAGAGGGTGAGCAACAGCCGACAGAACCGGCAAAGAAGCTGCAGGCTGTCTTGGAACGGCGCACGAACCCTACACGGCAAGCTGATACCATGTGGGATATCGACGACTCGCCTCAATTCCATGTCTCGCGTAAGGACCGGGCGAGGAATCTCGGTCGCTCTCATATCCCGAGACAGCGATTTCCGAAGGAGCATAAGCCTCAGAAGGCAGATGTGCAACCTACGGCGATGGGTGATGCTGAAGAGCCTATTCCTGTCCGGGATCAACCACGCCATGGAGCTGTCAATGAAGGGTCGAAAGAGGCAGATTCCCGGCCAGTTCCCACGCGTGAGCCCAAAAAGTCTGCGCCCTCCCATAAAAAGCCACAGAATAAAACTGCTGCCGAGGAGCCTAGAGAAACAAGGATCCTCGATGCTGCAAAGCGCAAACGTGCAGATACTACACCTGTCAATGTAAATCCACGCAGTGAAATCACAGTGGAAGAACCGAAAGAAACAACGGCTCAAATGACCACGCGCGAACCTCAGGAGCCAACTCCCATTTCGGAAGAGCCACGGAAGGAATTCTCTGTCAAGATAAAACCAACCATGAAATCTACCCCAGAAGACCCTGTCAGGACAGCTGCGTCCTCAAGGCAGGAGGAACAAGTCCCTAGCGGGAGCAATGCACCGATTGCGTTCAATCAGGTTCTTGCTCCCTGGAGTGGGCCAAAGCGGGCGTATTACCCTGCAACATGTTTCGGAAAGCCATTCGGAACCTCACAGTCTCGTTATTTGGTCAAATTCGAAGATAGCATGCCTATCGAGGTGCCGCTTGGCGCAGTCAAACGGCTGGAGTTACGGATTGGCGATGCTGTGAAAGTCGACGTACCCAACGTTCCCAAGGTCACACATATCATCCGAGGCCTCGAAAACAGACTCAGTGGCGACGAGCTCGCGAAGGAATCTGCCAGTGGTACGATCCCGGTAACTGACATCTATGGCCACTCGACTCTACTGCTGGGTCCAAAACAGCGCAAAAGCCTACCAAACGGGGGCCTTCCAGGTCCTGAAAATATTGTCAAGGTCCCGATATCCCGGATATACCTGGACACGATCTTGTGGAACCAGCTCAAGGACAGGCAGTATACCTACACTTCTGTATCAAAGCAAGTGGAGTCGGGCCTCCACACACCTTCCGACAGACACATGACGCCAGCGTCCCCCAGTACACGTCTGTCCCGCAGCATTCGCTTCTCAAGCGGCCTGTTCACCGGGATGGTCTTTGCGGTCTCGTACGGCGAAAACGCCGACACCAAGTCCCGCATAGTGAAGATGATTCTAGAAAACGACGGACGCATCCTACACGACGGCTTCAACGAACTATTCGAGCTCCCATCCAACGCCCCTCTCGCCACCCCAACAAAATCACCTGCTTCAATCACCAGCGGCAACAGCAACCAGTTCCGCCTCACCAGCGGCGCCGAAGACGTCGGGTTCGCCTGCCTTATAGCTGACAAGCACTCCCGCCGGCCGAAATACATGCAAGCGCTAGCCCTCAACCTCCCCTGTCTCTCAGACCGCTGGATCGAAGACTGCGTTGCGCACAACCGGATCGTCGAATGGGAGATGTACCTACTCCCAGCGGGCGACTCGTCCTACCTAAACGGGGCCACCAAATCCCGCTTCCTCGCTCCATACCCAGCAGCCAAGGCCCGGCTTTCAGACACGATCGCCGCGCGACCGAGCTTCCTAAGCGGCCAGTCGGTCCTCATCGTCATGGGCCGCGGCAAAGCCGACGAGGAGCGACGCAAGACCTACCTCTTCCTGACGTACGCGCTGGGCGCCTCGCGTGTGGAGCGCCTACCGGACGTCAAGTCTGTGCGAGTCGCCTGCGAACAAGGCGCTGGGTCCGGCGCCGGCTGGGACTGGGTCTACGTCGACAGCGAGGAGAAAGCCTCGGCGATAGGCTCCTTGCTCGGGCAGTCCGTGCCGGGTTCGCAGCAATCGCAGTCCTCCCAGTCGCAGCGGCCCAGGAAACGCAAGCGGTCTGGCTTTGCGGGATCTTTCGCTAGTGATAATGACTCGGGTGGAAATACCAGTGTCAGGGTCGTGAGCAATGAGCTTGTCTGCCAGAGTTTGATTCTAGGGAGGTTGTTGGCGCAGTAGCATTAACATTGCTTGAGTCGTTTGTTGTTTTTCTTTTCTTTTTTTCCTTTTAATGATTTCCCCATCATGTGAGAGTCTAACTGGATGTTGGAGTCGGCATGTATGGTCTTCATTGTTGACATTGCGAAAGCGAATATACCCCTCTACCTCATGTTTACCCCTGTTTGTTAAAGCGTGTATGTATTGTGCTTTGTGGGTTAAATCTAGCTATGAGAATACAAGTGACAATTTGATTTTAATCTTCTACAACAAGAACAAAAATGAAAGAAAGAAACTTCACACATGGTACATTTATACGGCTAGCAACATCTATAAGTACAACAAGTTAAAGCACCGATTCCATTCCATTCCAATCCAGTCAACGAGTCGACAGACCGAACAAAAAAAGAGAAAAATATCTTGACATGTATCGTTTAGCGACCACCCTTGCCCTTCTTGGTCTTCTTCTTGTTCTTCAAACTCTTCATCTGGGCCGCGCGATCAGCACGAGCCTGTCTCTTCCGCCACGCCAACCAGCGGTTCTTGCTATTATACGGCTTCGCCGTAATCCCCGCCTTCTCTGCAGCGCGACCAATCTGCCAATTCGCCTCACGGTACATATAACCCGGACGCAGCTGGGGCCCACCCTGCGCAGCGGTCGCAGCGTCCACGCTCGCAACCACAACACCATCCGCACCCACATGGGCCGTCAGATCCGAGCGCGCGGGCGGCTCATCGGCGACATCAATCCGCGGCACCGCAACGCGGTTCAGCTTCCGCCGGCTGGGCGCATTCCGCGGCGTAGGCAGCTTGCCCTCCTTCTCGAAGCAGACGCCGATGAACTTGCGGTCCGGATGCAGCTCCGGGTCCAGGTAGTACCGCACGTAGCCGGCCTCCGTGGCGTAGATGGTGTGGTCTCGGCCCAGCGCGCAGTTCTCGCCCGGGAACCACTTCGTCCCCCGCTGCCGGAAGATGATGCATCCTGGCACGACGTATTCTCCGCCGGAGCGCTTCGCGCCGAGGCGTTTGCCGGCCGGGTCGCGCGAGTGTCGGTTGCCGGCGCCTTGGGAGGCGTGAGAGGCGTGGCGGACTTGGGAGAGGGGGAGAAGAAGGCGGCTGGAGAGGGGGGATGGGGTGGCTGAGATTGGCCGCGGGAGGATGGACGACGGTGTGGTGGTTGAGGATCGGGTGAGGGATTGCGAGGAACGGAGAGATGGGGCGATGGCTCGTTCGAGCAGCCGCATGGGCGTTAAGAATCGGGACTGTAGCATTGTGGGCTGTTGTGATTGGAAACCCGTCCTGTAGTAGGAATTGCCAGGAGTGGATATGAGGTCGGGATGGATCGAGAGTCGGAGATGCTGAGGCCTTTTTTCTCCCCGTGACCGAGTTCTTGGCGCGTGTCACGTGAACTGGCGCGAGTTGGCTTGATCGCCGACAGCAACTTAACTAACCACTTACTATACATTATACTTACTTCAGTCGCATTAACTTTCTACAAGAATTACTCCAGTATAATAGTTAGACTTGTCCCCCTTGAGAAATTACCCCCAGTCTCCCAGCTACGCATTGGCAAAATGCTTCCCAACCTACTCCGCACCCTAGGAGCCCTGCTCCTACTGGTATCCGTCGCCCACGCCCAGTTCCAATTCTTCGAGCAAATGTTTGGCGGTGGCGGCGGCCGTCAGGAACAGCAGCGTGCTTCTCAGAATGTTCCCAGCGACAGCTCGCGATACCAAAGCATGTGGGAAGGATGTACGTATTCAAGACCCTCCCAATCATGTACTCCCGCATCGGACTAATCGACGCTCTAGCACGATGTGATAAATACCTCTGCCCTGGCACACTGGCTTGTGTCCATTTCCCGCACCACTGTCCGTGTCCGCATTCCGATGTTGAGGAGAAGGTGGAGTTGGGTGAGGGGAGCGCTGTTTGTGTCTCGAAGGGGGGTTATAAGCCTGGGGAGGCGGCGCGGAAGATTGAACTGGCTAGGAAGGGGTTGCTATAATTGTTTGAATCAGTCCATGCGTGGTCAAGGGGTGGTCAATTGGTGTCTGAGATCCAGTGGTTATGGTTGTGCTCTATATCCAGTCAAGGTCAGCATGGCGTGTGTATCATGGTCCCGGAAGACTCATTACAAGTAAACTAAAAACACATAACAATACATTGATACCCCTGTGTACACCTGTTTATTCAACGAGCAATGAATCCAGAAACCAACAGCCTCGTACCATCCATTGAATATGTCGTGAAGGTGTACTGGATGATAGCCCCCTCGAGGAGACTCCTCGACCGGTTCGACAACGTCGTATATTCTCTCGAAACGCCGTATGCTGAAATTGATTGTAGCTTACTTGGTGTTCAGCAAAAAAGACTGTCTTTGTCTGGATCGATTGTTCTTGTCTCAAGGTGTACAGAGCTATACTGATTCTCAAGAGAAAATGGCGGAAAGCCTTTGTACACAACTCAGAGCTAGACAATCTGATATCATGTAATCGAGCTTGAACTGTCCAATGACAACTTGTGAGAGCACCTGTTGCTCAATGACGCTTGCTCAGGAGCTTGAGATATTCAATACTTCACTTTCTCTTCCGAAATATAGTTTGAATAGAAAAAGACTGGTAGACGTATTTAGAGGTAGGAAATCAATATTCCCACGTCTGTAACTGTACCATGTTCTCAGAATCCGTTCTAGTGACAGGCGTGTAGTTTATATGACTTTGTTGATGTTACCAAGTTGTAACTCCATACTTGGAGTCGTAGCGGTGATATGGAAGTGGAGAATTATCTCCGGAGTTAACTCCGCCGCCAGAACAAGTTCCGTCATTCTCTCTTCTGTAACCGCCACAACTTCATCTCTGTTCTCATACCTTGAATATCTGCTTTTCACCTATTTCTTCTTGGATTCATAGCCCTAGGTGTACTTGATAATTGACTTTACCGTATTTTGGCTACATTATAAACCTACTGGACCATGTGGAGTGTCCAACTCCGACCGCACCCGGCGCGGTTGCTCCTAAAGCCCAGTCGAGCTTTCGCCAGCTCCTTCACCAGAGGACGAGTCAGCCCTCGCGGCCCGCGCAATTCAATCCGAAGACCAGAACCCATCCGGAGACCAGGGACTTCGCCACGGCAATCAGAGACGTCGAACCCGGAGACAGACCAACCGAGTTCTGTCAATACAAACTATGACCCCGCGCATAACACCCTCCTCGCCCCGGTCCATATCCCAGAGGACCCCAATGGCGTACTCAAGGAAACACATCCGGCCACGAATCTTCTGGTAAACTCGGGACTGGTCGTGCAACGACAGTTGGAGATGATGAATGTGATGATGTGAGTGGTTTCTCTATTCCATTGGGTGGTCAGTCGGGTGTCACGCTAACAGATGGATGCCCCCGCAGTGGTTTCGAACAAGCCAACAAATATGTCATTATGGATGCGAGCGGGAATCATGTTGGGTACATGGCGGAACAGGAACGGGGCATGGGTAACATGATGGCGCGGCAGTGGTTTCGAACCCACCGGAGTTTCGTGACGCATGTATTCGATAAGCACGAGAATGAAGTGTTGCGGGTGAGTACTTTCCACATATATATTTTGCTACTCTTCGTTAGGCTCACAATGTCAGTTTCACCGTCCGTTCGCCTGGATCAACTCTCGCATCCGTGTGTATGATCCTCTCGATGTCTCCAACAATGTCCACTCCACCTCGACCGGTCTCCAAAACGTTTCGTCGGGCTCCCTTACCCAAGCCACCGATGCGTCCAATGCTAGGGTCTCGCCGCTCGGGTTCGACGAGATGCGCGTGATCGGAGAGGCCCAGCAGCAGTGGGCGCCGCTGCGGCGCAAATACAACCTTTTTACCTACCACCACTCTCCCAACCCCGCCACCGACATGGGTTCCACACAATTGCCGCTTTCGCAGTCTGGTCTCTCCCAGGTGCAGCAATTGCAGTTGATGCGGTCCGCCGAAGGTAGTGAGGATATGGGACAGTTCAGCCAGTTTGCCTATGTGGACGAGCCTTTCCTGTCGTGGGATTTCTCCCTCCGTTCGGCGGAGAACCAGTTGATCGGCTCGGTCAATCGTGACTTCTCTGGATTTGCTCGCGAGATGTTTACAGATACGGGAGTCTACGCCCTCAGGATGGATTCGGCCGCTCTCGCCCCTGGACAGGCACCAGGGCCGAACGACGCCGCCACGGGGATGACCCTGGATCAGCGCGCTGTCATGCTGGCGACCGCCGTGAGCGTCGATTTTGACTATTTCAGTCGCCACAGCAACTCGGGCGGTTTCGGGTTTATGCCGCTCTGGATCCCCGGTATGGGCGGCGAAGCCACCGCCGGGGGTGCCGCCGGGGGCACAGCTGCCGGGACCGCGGCAGGCGAAGCTGGGGCGGTGGGGGATGCCGCCGCGGGGACCCTCGGCAGAGCTGGAACCGCTGGAGGACTGGGCGAAGGAATGGCAGCGGGGGCCGCTGGGGCAGGGGCTATGGCTGGATACGACGCCATGTCCCGGGGCATGACGGGGGACAGCCAGGCACAGCCCCCACCCGATCAGTCGCCGGCTCCCATGGATCAACAGCCCCCATCGACGGGACCAACCGGTCCCTACGGGGACACCTGGGGTGAAGAAGCTGAGAAAGACCCGTGGGGTCGAGGTGAAGAGGTCGAGAAAGACCCGTGGGGTCGTGATCAAGAAGATCCCTGGGAGGCCGAAGACCCATCGGACGGAGGTGAAGGCGGTGGAGACGACTTTGACTGGTTCTAATGCATGTAATAGATAGCTCGCTCGATGTTCCGAGCCTTTGTACTATATTCAAGGAGATATCATTGGCTGTAGAATAGTATATACTCATTCTTGAAAGCGGACCGTAGTAGCCTTAGGCATGAAATGTCCCGATCAGGACGCGCCGAGATCCGACCGGCCATTTGCAGTGGCAACAATTGGGAAAACAAAAAGAAACGGAAACCCCATCATTCCTCCTCTCGGTCGCTCATAAACTTAGATATAACCGATATCCCTCTCTATTTCCTGTTTCTTTCAGGTGTCTACACTCTTCACTTTTTGCGGACCTGATCTACTTAGTCGCTGGTGGTTTTCACCCGGCTGCCCCACTCCGCCGTTCTCCGCAACCGCCATCACTCTACCAACACAAGTACACTTAACTAGACGATCAATTTCCCGACTGCGCTCCTCACCAAACACAACCCCATTGATCTCGAAAATTATTCTTGATAGACACTTAGTGCAGTCATCGTCAACCTCACCTCACCATGTCGTCCGTCGCTCAAAAACGTCTCTTCCACGAGTACAAGAACCTCTCCACCAACCCACCGGACGGGATCACCGCTGGGCCCGTCACCGAGGACGACATGTTCCACTGGGAGGCTCTCATCGAGGGACCAGGTGGCACGCCCTTTGAGGGTGGAGTGTTCGCGGCGGAGTTGAAATTCCCTAAGGACTACCCGTTAAGTCCGCCGACGATGAAATTCGTGGGAGGTGGGGTCTGGCATCCGAATGGTGAGTTTCTTCCTTTCTTCCACCTTTCCCCTATTGCAACAGTTTGAACCAGTAGCTGACGGAACTGTCTCCAGTCTACCCCAACGGAACTGTCTGTATCTCCATCCTCCATCCCCCCGGCGACGACCCCAACCACTACGAGCATGCTTCGGAACGATGGTCGCCCATTCAGAGCGTGGAGAAGATCCTCATCTCAGTGATGAGCATGCTGGCGGAGCCCAATGACGAGAGTCCCGCGAATGTCGAAGCCGCCAAGATGTGGCGAGAGCGGAGAAACGAGTACGAGCGGAAAGTGCGCGACGAGGTGCGGAGAGGGTTGGGGTTGTGAATCGTGGGCTAGGGGATGCCGTCTTTCGAAAGGGAGGGTCGGTTGGCTGAAGTGGAGGAGTAGACAGGCAGGAAGAGAAGGAGGGAAAGGTGGGTGGCTCTGTGCCATACGTATATATATGCTCTGTTTGTCGTGTTCGTGATGTGTTCTCTTCGTCGCCAGGCGCTTGGTATGCATAGCTGGTCTCTGTTGTCGATGCATGCGTTATTACTAGTCTTGGATTGACTGCTGAAATTCGGGGCTGGCGTTAGTGGCTTTTTACAATTCTCCATTGCGAATATATTTCTCTTATATTTACCTTTTTTCCTTTTCTATCTTCTCTTTGATCACGCTCTGTTTCCGCTGATCCCTAGATTTTCTTATGCACTTTCCGAAATCGGAGGACTAAACGTCTCACCGTCAAACTACAACTACATTAAGTATACAGTCGTGTATAAACTCACTTTAGCCTGCATGATGACCACCCGTCAAGATCACGACAACACCTCCATCCTCCGATCAATCCACCCCTCCAACCCCCCCTCCCGGTCATAAAGGATCTCAATCTCAGCCTTCACATTGAGCATCAGCATACGCTGTAATTCCGCACGCCAACCCAGCTCAGGCCCGTCCACCGCGAAAACCGGGTTCCTGCACAGCATGGTAACGATCTTCCTCCTGTCTCTAACAGTCAGACGCATGAGCGCATCATCCCCACAGGGGTCCGCTCCCGAAACGACATCCGACACGTGGAGGCCCAGACAGCGCAGACCGCGGACATTCAGTTGCCGGTTCTCGTGCGCTGCTGCCATTGACCCGTACTTGTAGGTTGCTAGGATGGCTAGTCCGTCGGGGTCTCCGTCGACTAGGGCGAGGAATTGTGGACGTCGGTAAGATTGGGATTGGGAGGGCGCGTCGAATAGTTTCCGGATGAATGCTCTGGTGGAGTAATCGGGATAGCCTTTGCCCTGGGCTGTGGTGTTGATAAAGGATGGCCGGGCGAGGTGTGTTTGAGAGAACGGAATTGGCTTATGCTTACTGTGATGAGAATGCCTTTTCCAGCTGCTGCTGTGTTGTGATATCCGCTTCCTACTAGTCGGCGGTAGACAGCCTATGCTTGTTGATATTGTGATGGAATACACACCTGATCGCTGTGAAGGGACAAGATGACATGCGTACCTCTTTTTCAAGGACCAAGACCCAGTCAATATCGGAGGTATCTATCCCCATTATTTCCTGCATCCGTGGTACGAGATTGCTCTATTCCCGTCAATGAAACCGCGCCCCTCGAATCCCTACTCAGATGGTGGGGGCAAACCTCGGAGGAAAGACGCGCCTCCATAGGATGGGCCGATGGGTGAATCAATCTGTACTGGCCCGCGACGAGTCCTTTTGCGGATGCTTCCTATGGATACCCCCCGAAGTCAATATCTGCCTCATAAGTCGGTCATCAGCGAGGGTAGTCGATACCACGTTCAGCGATGCCCGGTTAACGCCAATGGTGTAGGCGATGTCATCGACGAGGACGTCAACGACTCTCTGGGATCCAAAGCAGACTGGATCGCTGTAATAGATGTCTCTACGGGTAAGGATGGTCAGCCAGCCGTCTATCAAAAGGATATGAGGCCTGTTCATATACACCTTTTTGACACCACCAGACCAGCGTCGATCGCGTCGGCAATGACCGTTAGAAGACGCAGAGTGATTGCTATGGTGAGCCCTGATTAGAATCTTTTTCAGAGTCTCGTATCCAGACCGTGTTAAAAGGTCATGATAAATCTCATCTCACTGAATCTCCATGCTTCGAAGCAATCCTTTCCTGGCCATGAATAGGTGAGAAGGGACCCCGTATCTGTGGTCTCCAGAGCACCACTGTCAGGGTTGATATAGAAGACAACATTTCCCGATCTGCGTCGCAATGCTATTGAGGAGTTTCCATTGGCGTCGGACATGGCATTGAGGAGCCCTGCGAGAGTGTCGTCTATATACTTTCGGACTCGCTCTTGGTGGTGAGTCTCGGGGATGGGCTCTGTCTGGTCCATGTGGCGATCGGTTGGGGAATATGTAAAAGTATTAGTAATATGCTTTGTATCAGTATTGAGTTGAAAGTTTGAAAGGAATTCAAAAGTCGTAGGTGCCGCTGGGAATCATCTCTCAGTATTGAGGTCTGACATACATGATACAAGAAGGATTTATAGATCTGGTACTAGTACGACAGTACTCCGTGGTAGTCGGATGTATTCACAACACACTACTTGATCTATACAAATGAATAACACAATCACTCTTCCCCCATCCAATTCGCCCTACCATACAGAATAAATATATCAACATTTCATCTAGGTACCTACCTCCTACTTGAATTGGGTACCTCATGATATATGGTACAGACATTGTTAGTGATTGGCCAATGCATAGATTTCCCCTGATGACTCAGCACCAATCGGATCCTTCCCAGATGCAGCTATTGGCGGAGGACTTAAGCTGCATCCTGCATTATTCTGACTAATTGCATTGTGATCAGGCAAACAGTTCGGCCTCGGACGATCTGCCAACTTCCCTTCTGGATCTCCTTTCCATCTCACCTCGATTCAGTTGAACGGAGTCGTCGAAGGGTGATCGGTGACATTTTGATCCTTTTTCAGCTCTATATTTGATTCGACTTTTCCCCTAGATTTGCCTTCCCCCTAGCCGTCTTCTAAAAAGGGCAGAGGAAAAATAAAGAAATAAGGTCCTGGTCTGGTTCATGACCTAGGCTCCACTGATAATAATCGCAACTTACAACCACTGTACGTCATCTCCCGACGTCGGAAAATGACCGGGGAACACATTGGCCCATGGCGGACGGCCGTTCAGGGCCATTTATCTCCCGATGCGAATGGGGATGCCCAAACGGACTACTCGCGGTGGAGGTTGCGCGACGATCGCGGTCGTCAGACCTGGCATTACCTCGAGTCCGACGAAGAGAATGAAGCCTGGCCGCAAACAGTCGCTGATAAATATTTCATGGGCTTGCCCACCGTTCGTCTCCCACGTGTTTATTAACTATTCGAAATCGCCGAGGCGGTGCTGACCTTCCGACATAGGGACTCCCGAACTTGCCGCCGGCAAAGACGCCGCTGCAATGCGCGGAGAATGGCTTGGAGTTCTTCTCCAAGCTCCAGCTCGAGCCCGGGAATTGGGCTTGCGAGTATGGCGGTCCCATGTTCCTCCTGCCGGGAGTGCTCATCACCTATTACGTGACCCATACTCCCATCCCGCCAGAGTATGCAACCGAGATCAAGCGGTATCTCTTCGCCCGCCAGAATCCGGACGATGGCGGCTGGGGTCTTCACATTGAGGCCCATAGCTCGGTCTTCGGAACCGCGATGAACTACGTTGCTCTGCGCCTAGTCGGCGTCGGCGAAGATGATCCGCGCATGATCAAGGCCCGGGGGTTGCTCCATAGCTTTGGCGGCGCCCTCTACGGACCCCACTGGGCCAAATTCTGGCTCAGTATTCTGGGAGTTATGGAGTGGGACTGCGTCAACCCTGTACCCCCCGAGATCTGGTCAGTCTTGTGACTACCCCGGACACCGGTCGGTCCTATGCTAACCCTATTCTCCAGGCTTCTCCCGGACTGGGTTCCTTTTGCCCCGTGGCGGTGGTGGATCCACATGCGCCAGGTTTTCCTGCCCATGTCATATCTCTGGTCCAAGCAGTTCTCCCACCCCTTGGATTCGTTGACCAAGCAGCTCAGACAAGAACTGTATACCCAGCCGTACGACTCGATTGACTTTGCAAGCCATCGGAATTCCATCCACGAGGCTGATAACTACTACCCGAAAACGTGGCTCCTGAACCTGGCCAACCAGGCTCTGGTCCACCTCTGGAACCCCTACTTCCGGTTGAACTCGGTGGTCCGCCGCGCGGAGGAGTGGACCTGGGAGTTGATCCGGATGGAAGACGAGAACACCGACTATGCGGGGCTGGGACCCGTGAGCAACCCGATGAACATGATTGCCTGCTACGTCCATGACGGCCCCGATAGCTATTCGGTCCGTCGTCACCGGGAGCGTTTGAACGACTACATGTGGATGAAGAACGAGGGCATGCTCGTGAACGGCACCAACGGCGTTCAGGTGTGGGACACGGCTTTTATCACGCAGTGCATCGTGGTGGCCGGGTTTGCAGACGACCCCAAGTGGCGCCCCATGCTCACCAAGGCCTTGGAGTTCCTCGAGGATCACCAGCTGCGCGAGAATGTGCCGGACCAGGAGAAGTGTTACCGCCAGCACCGGAAGGGTGCTTGGCCGTTCAGCAATAAAACTCAGGGATACACCGTGAGCGACTGCACCGCGGAGGGCCTACGCTCCACCATTCAGCTGCAGGACATGCATGGCTTCCCGCGCCTGATCTCCTTGGACCGCCTCAAGGACAGCGTGGACTGCTTGCTCCTGATGCAGAACTCTTCCGGTGGGATTTCCGAGTACGAGACGAGGAGGGGATCGCCCAAGATCGAGTGGTTAAATGCTGCCGAGGTGTTCGGAGGGATCATGATCAGCTACGACTATCCCGAGTGCACGACGGCCACCGTCACGGCTCTCTCGCTGTTCAGTCGGTTTTACCCCGACTACCGCGCCGACGAGATCCGAGCCGCCAAGGACAAGGCCGTGGCGTATATCAAACGGGTACAGAGAGATGACGGGAGCTGGTACGGCTCGTGGGGCATCTGTTTCACATACGCGGCCATGTTCGCTCTGGAGAGTCTGACCAGTATTGGGGAGACGTACGACACGAGCGACTATTCCCGCCGGGGCTGCGAGTTCCTTCTCTCCAAGCAGAAGGAGGATGGCGGCTGGGGAGAGTCCTATCTCAGCAGCGAGCGACACGTCTACACCCAGCACGAGACATCCCAAGTGACCCAGACCGCCTGGGCGGCTCTTGCGCTGATGGAGGCGGGCTACCCGCACAAGGAACCGCTCCGCAAGGCCATGCAGTTGATGATGTCGCGGCAGCAGTCCAACGGCGAATGGCTGCAGGAGTCTATTGAGGGGGTGTTCAACCAATCCTGGTAAGTGCGCTGAAGAAAATTGAACCGAAAGACACTGACTGACTCGTGTCTAGTATGATCTCCTACCCGAACTACAAGCTCTACTGGCCCATCCGGGCTCTGGGGCTGTACAGTAAGAAGTTTGGCAATGACGAGCTGGTCTAGTTGGGGCACGGGGACAAATATCTATATATATTAATGTGTACGTTCCGCAGAGCGCTACAAGCATAATGTTATAATTCTACATAATACCATAATCCGACCTTCCTATTCTATAGATTTCTATATTTCCATATCCAGATCTATGTATGAGGTAATCACGAGCAGCTGAAGCTGTAGATGACTAAGCACCTCCCCCGCAGGTCCAGAAGGTGATGGAATCTCCAACAATTACGCCTGCAGCTCTCATACGACTACAAACACAAACCTCTCTTCATACAGGGCTTCTATTCTTGATCTCATACACGGTGAATAGTCAACCATCGAACACACCCAACGAACCTAGTTATCCACCACCATGAACTCCGCATCACAGGGCGAAGCGGCGCTCGCGAGCTCCGACTTCCCCAGCGCAATCCGGTGCTTCACCCAGGCACTCGTGGAACATCCCCGATCCCCGACCTACTACATCAAGCGCTCGACGGCCTTTTCGCGTCTCAGACCCGCGGATGGCGGCCCCAATCACGCAGCCGCCCTGCGGGATGCCGAAGTCGCACTGGCCCTGGCCCAAGAGCGCGGCAGACGAGAGCTCATCATGTCCGCCCAGATGAGGCGCGGAGTCTCGCTGTACCAGGCCGGGAAGTATGGTGATGCGGATTATCTTTTCGGCTGGATTCAGCAGAAGATTGCTCCTGGGGGAGAAACAGCGAAGAATGGGGCGGGTAAGGAGGGGAAGATTCAGGATGCGATGGCTGCTAATAAAAGCTCGTCGTCGGCGTCTTCTTCGACTAAGTACGAGCAGGAACTGCCGATTTGGAAACTTAAGACTGCGGGGAGTCTGCGCAAGTTGGCGGAGGATGATCCCAGTCGGGCTGTCACCGTCTCGGAGTACCCCGCGGGCGTCCGTGTGCCGACGGAGAAAGAGCTGAAGGGGGAGTTGGAGGCTTTGAAGTCTGGGAAGGTGGATGGCGTCCAGGCGCAGGCTGGCTCGGCTGGAGAAACCAAGGGTGGAGAGTCTGCGGCGGCGAATGCTGCGTCGGCTTCGACAGGTGCTGGAGGCCAGCCTGCGGGTGGCGCTCAGACGCCTACGGCGGCACCGCCAGCGGACAAGGTCAGACACGAGTGGTATCAGACGAATGACGCTGTTGTTGTCACCATATATGTGAAGGGGGTTCCTAAGGACGACGTGGACGTTGAATTTAAGGAAGACTCGGTACAGTCCACCTCCCACCCGTTGCGCTTGTCAAGGTATTGCATTCAGTACACTAACCAACTCCGACCAACAGATGACCCTACAGTTCCCATTGCCCTCAGGCTCCGAGTACGACTTTACACTGGACCCTCTATTTGCACCGATCAACACATCCACATCCAAGCTCTCCGTAATGTCCACCAAGCTCGAAATAGTCTTACGAAAGCAGACCCCCGGCCAGAAATGGAGCACACTGGAAGCCTCCTCAACGAACGTCAAGTTGTCCGATCGCGCGGCAGCCTCAGGACCAGCACCCGCCAGCACTCCCGGACCCCTATACCCATCCTCGTCGCGACACGGCGCCAAAGACTGGGACAAGCTGGCCTCAACCCTCACGGCGAAGAAACCTTCCAAAGAGAAAGGCAAAGAGCAAAGCGCAAAGACCGATGACGCAGGCCACGAGTCAGACGGGGCCGAATCGGTGGATTCGGACCTTGGCGGCGATGCAGTCGATGGGTTCTTCAAGAAGCTCTACGCCGGCGCGGATCCGGACACCCGTCGCGCTATGGTCAAGAGCTACGTCGAAAGCCAGGGCACTTCGCTGAGCACTAACTGGAGCGAGGTGGGCCAGGGAAAGGTGAAGGCTCATCCTCCTAGTGATTGATTGGTGTCTGTCTGTCTGTCTAGTCTAGTCTACCAGATTGGGTTTCTGTTCGTTATTGGGGGGCGTCTTTAAAAGCGAATGCTTTTACGAAACGAAATGAGGGTGGGAGGTAAAAACAGCATCGATCGGAGTTACGACAGCATCATCATCGTTATTTTCTAGCGCGGAATCATGCACTCTTTTAATTTAGTTCAGTCCTTTATCCCGGCATTTTCAAAACGAATTCCATCAAAGGTCATTCAGTTATAGTTTGCTCCGTCTTCTATATATACAAAGTAATAGATAAGCCAATACCCATCTTTAAAACCTAGAACGCCCGGATAAAAGCAACTCCCCTTCGTAAACCCAACCCCGCCCCCACAACGCATATGCATGAATTTTAGTAGTATGCAACCCTATCTCTCACCCCCTACTACTCTCCCCACTAGCCTCTTCGTCTGATTCTCCACCCTCCTGGTACAAGAAAAACTGAACAAAGATGCACATATCCAAGAACAAGGTCCCCAAACTGCCAATCAACCAGGAGAGGTTAACGAGAACATACCGTCCGTACTGCGCGGCGGCGTCATCCGGGCTACAGCGGCCGCCTGTCTCGGACGGACAGACGGGGGAGTAGGCAAGGATAGAGAGCACGTAAGTCAGATTGCCTATGCATGCAAACAGGAAGAAGAGCAGCGAGACACCGTCCGTGGACTTGCGGCGGTAGTTGAGGAGGATCTGGGGAAGACGGGAGCCCAGGTAGAGGACGGCGCAGAGGTAGCCGAAGATCTGGCCGAGGGTGTCGAATTTGAGAGAGTCGTCCGGTGTTGATGGGTCTTTGGGTTTGGAGGGGGAGGAGGCCGGGCTCACGTACCAGCCCAGGATGCCGGCTGCGCAGACGAGGGCGACGGCGGAGGTCTTGATGAGGATCGATTGGAGGGTGCTGATTTGACGGGCTCGGCGGGCTTTGGTCTTGGGATCGGTGGGTTCAATGAATGGTGTTGCTGGGGAGAGGTGCGTTCCGTCTACTATGGGGCGGAGGAGTGAGGACGCTGCTGAGTGGCGGCGGTGGGTTGAGGGGGAGAGGAGTGGGGGTGGTGTGTGCTGGGAGTTTTGGGTGAGGGAGTGGTGTGGTTGAGGAGTTGACTGGTAGGATTGCGCGTTTTTCCTGGATAGTAAGGCTGTCCGCTCGGATGACAGGCCGCTGTCCCCAGCAGCAGAAGACGGGTTCCCGGGATCGTTGGGCCCGCTGTCCTCTGCGCGAGATACTGACGAGGATGGCTCCTGCAGGGTGAATCCGCGGTAGTAGAAACATTGTCCGAGTAACACGATGTCGGCGAGTGTATAATACACGGCTAGGATGACCATCGTCGGCAACACCCCCTGGAGAACCGCCCCAAGGATATTGAATACATCGCCCGCCAGCCACACGATGAGGAATAGAAGCGAAAGGCCATCTGCAGAGCCGCGGCGAAAGTTTTCAATGATCTGAGGGGAGAAGACGACTACCCAGCAGGTAATGGATATAGAGCTATGGCAGTGGTTAGTAGATGCTGCAATTTTCTCTCCCACATCTCCTGCTATTCCTTCCCCCTTTGTTTCTTTTTTTTTTCCCCCGGGAGAACAATACTTACCCACAGATGCCGCTCAGCGCCTCGAGATCAACGTTACCCAGTTGCGAGGGAAACATGGTGAGAGCGGCGCCAGGGGGGTAGATTGGCACCAACTGCCCGTTCAGCCACAATGTACTGTATATTGAGGAACACTGGGAGGTCTATTTGAAGAGCGAATGATCCAGGTGGACTAGGCATGAAAGAAGCCCTGACAATGACGTCTTGAAGACTCTGCGGGATCACGTGGTGATATCCGGGGAAATTTCCGCTATCTCGTATGACGATGTCTGGGTCGTCCCAGAGATCCCACAGATCAAATCCACCAGCAATGGTATTGGCTTTTCAGACTGCCACTCTGATATTAGCGAACATGCCAGGTTGTAGTTACAACAGTCCTCGAGAGAGATACTCCCAGTCGCAACATTGAAAACGGCCATGTCATGTGATCCTTATCGATAAGATGTCTATTAGTCATCAGTGGGTCGTCCTGCTGTTTCGCGCAGAAGATGAACTGAATGATTCAATCCATCTTCAAGATTGGACCTTCCATAGAACGGAAGGAAGTCACTTGCCTCATTTGCTTCAAATGAACGAGCCGTGACATTGGTCGTGCACTCCACACTAACTTCTCGAGTTGTATCAGCCAAGCATGCGTCTTCAATGACGAAACCCTCGATCCGAATTCCTTTGACTGGGCCGCTGCCTTCGCCGATCATTGTTCCCCCGTCCGCGCGCACGCTTGCTGGGGCCATCGATGCTCTTGGATCTTTCTTGACGGCCTCTCCGTCTCCGTATCTGCGTGGGGTCGATGTCGGGCGTTACTCTCAAACGGTCCTTTTGACCGGCGCTGGCATCTCCGTCGCGTCAGGTCTGTCGGACTATCGAGGAGAGAACGGCACGTATGTCACCAACAAGAATTATCGGCCGATTTACTTCCATGAATTTGTGCGACAGCATGAGTCCCGCAAGCGGTATTGGGCTCGAAGCTTTGTCGGATGGCCGGGCCTGCAGAAAGCCAAGCCGAATACAACCCATGAGGCCATCCGGGACATCGGCGCCAAGGGCTACATCAGCTCCGTGGTGACCCAGAATGTCGACTCTTTCCATTCCATCGCACATCCCACGCTGCCTACCCTGGAGCTTCATGGCTACTTGAGGTCTGTCGTGTGCACGAGCTGTCGCAATCAGTTTTCTCGGAAGGAATTCCAGAAGTCGTTGGAGAAGCTCAACCCCGCTTGGGCCGAGTTTCTGGAGAGGGTGGTCACGAGCGGAGCACTCGACACAGACAACCCTGCTGAGCAACGACGGAAGGGTCTCAAGCTGAATCCGGACGGTGATGTGGATCTGGCCGAGGCTCCATACTCTACTTTTCGATACCCACCATGTCCTACGTGTGCGGAGAAGCCTCCTCGTCTCGAAGATGGCACACGGACCAACGTTGACGTTGAAAACGATGGAGCTTGGCTTCCGACGTCTACTGCTGGGGTGTTGAAACCGGCCGTCATCATGTTTGGAGAAAACATCGACCCGGCGGTCAGGGTCGCCGCAGAGGAGGCCATCGATGATGCTGGAAGACTCTTGGTGCTTGGCAGCAGTCTTGCCACGTATTCGGCCTGGCGACTGGTGGACAGGGCCCAGAAACGCGGCATGCCCATTGGTATCATCAATTTAGGCGGTGTCCGGAACGAACCGGTCCTCTTTAGTGAATTGGCACAAGGGAAAGGGGATCCGATCGGGTCCCAGCACATACGTTGCAGTTTCCCGTCCGAGTCGATTCTCCCCCCGGTTGCGTCACAGCTGCCTGATCTTCATCACAGGATGTATTAAGTCCATGCAGGGGGAGGAAGCCATAGACCGCGCAGACTGTATGTAATTTTGGCCCAGGATAGACCACCTATCAGAGTGCCTACCGTTCATGGGGACTCAGCTGATCCCAGTGTACATGATGTGTGGTAAATGGATGCATCACTACAAGGCATAAGCGCCAGAAGACCAGCTAGAGTTCCAAACATGCATAACGATAAGCAATGATTTGCGTAGAGTGATCGTGATGGATGTAAGCGCCAGGAAGGGGAAGGCGGTGGGAGAGACGGACTATCGCGGCCGCGGGAAACGTGGGAAGCCCCGCGCTTGCGGAATCCAGACCATCTCTCACTCTTCTTCTTCTTCTACTGCGACTTTTATCTTATTAACCTCTTCTTTCTCCTCTCTTCGACCTGATTATTTCATTATTTATATGGACATCACCAATAACACCCCCCTTCGTACTGCCAGTTCATCCTCCACCTCGCGCGATCCCATCTCTCAGATCGTTTCTCCCAAGTTCTTCCTCTTCCCCACCCATTTGCAACCACGCCCGACAGTTGTCTCCGCATCATCAGCCATGGATAAACAACCTAGCTCATTTCAACAGTTGGAGAAGGTAGGCGCATAATCTTCTGCTCTGTCTGTGTCTTCTTGGCCGGACCAGGGTTCGTGTGATCATAGACTAACTGTGATTCCGTTATTCTTCAGCTTGGTGAAGGCACTTATGCCACCGTACGTGAAATTCACTCTGATATCCTCTCCCTTCTTGGGGGTGGGAAATATACCTCCATCTCTTCCGCTCTCTCCATCGTTTCATAATGTAACCAGTTTGGCAACAGGTGTTCAAGGGGCGAAACCGGCAGACGGGTGAGTTGGTCGCTCTGAAAGAGATCCATCTCGATTCCGAGGAGGGGACTCCGTCGACAGCCATTCGTGAGATCTCGTTGATGAAGGAGTTGAAACATGAGAGTATTGTGTCGCTTCACGATGTCATCCACACGGAAAACAAGTTGATGCTGGTCTTCGAGTACATGGACAAGGATCTCAAGAAGTACATGGACACCCGGCCTGATCGGGGCCAATTGGATCAAGCGACGATCAAGTCATTCATGCATCAACTCCTCAAGGGCATTGCATTCTGTCATGAAAACCGGGTCCTTCATCGCGACTTGAAACCGCAGAACCTCTTGATCAACAAGAAGGGCCAGTTGAAGCTGGGAGATTTCGGCCTGGCTCGTGCTTTCGGTATCCCAGTCAATACCTTCTCGAATGAAGTGGTGACGCTGTGGTACCGCGCGCCCGACGTCCTTCTCGGCAGCCGGACGTATAACACGAGTATTGATATCTGGTCGGCCGGGTGCATCATGGCAGAGTTGTACACGGGCCGTCCCCTCTTCCCAGGGACCACGAACGAGGACCAGTTGCAGAAAATTTTCCGCCTAATGGGCACGCCGTCAGAACGCTCGTGGCCCGGGATCTCCCAACTGCCCGAATATAAGCCGAATTTCCATGTCTATCCGACCAATGACCTTGGCGTCATCCTCCCCCAGATCGATCCGCTCGGACTCGACCTGTTGAATCGCATGCTCCAACTCCGACCGGAAATGCGGGTTAGCGCGCATGACGCGTTGCAACATCCCTGGTTCCATGACCTCCCGCAGTTGCAGGCACAATTGCAGCAACAGCAGCAGCAACAACAACATCAGATGGCAGGCGCCTATGGAGGCATGATCCCACCGCAACAAGCATATTAATTCGAGTTCGAGTTTTGTTTCGACCGTCTCTTGCGGGAAGCAAAGGAGACGTACCGGGGCGGCTGGCTTCCTCCTCCCTTTGTTCGCTCGTCATCCCATTTTCTTTGTGCCGTGTGCATATTATGGCCGACCAGGTGCGACGAGATGATGAACGCATTAGTATAACTGGAGAGTGTGGCGTTGTTTTGGCAAGGAAGGTTATTGAATGTCTTTTGTTCCTGTTTATTTTTTTTACTCTATCTTATTACTTAAATATGTTTTGTTTGATTCTATCTGGGCGATTTCTTTGTTCTCACCATGCATCGGGGTGACCACCAAGAGGCACGCCACTTTGCTTGCGACACTTATTGATTGTGACTTGAATTCAGCGACTGGCGAATGAGACTAATTGGAACATCTTCTGAAGTAACCCGATTCTACTACCTTCCCAACTGGATAATACTAGTACAAGTAACGATTGTTCTCCCCTCGACCTGGTCACTTGGAAGAATCTGCGCATCAGCCCGCGATACTTTGCTGGACAGCAGTCAAAACTACTAGATATCAGTTAAGACTTGCTATACATCAATCAAAGATGCTAGACATCAATCAACAGCTGAAGACCATCGGCGGATGAATGATCACGAATGCAATAGCCCAAACCCCTGGGTCTAGTCGACTGGATAGAGTTCATGCAGAACACAATCCACAGGCTGAAAGACCATGAGGACACTAGCCATTTCTTGATCATGAAGATCCCACGCCGATGCCGGGCGACTTGACATTTCTTTGTTAGATAAGCCCTAGCATATAGTCCCATCCCCGCTTTGAGGTAGAGCCCGACTTCCCCAGGCTCTAGTCTCACAGTCCCACTGTCCTTCTTTCTCGATCTACACAAGGTTGTCTATCAGTCTAGAGGATGGACCACTGACCTGGCCTTTTGGGTTGTACCTCTTCTCATATGGGTGTCCTCAAAGAACAGACTATGCGACGCGCGGCATTAGGGACCATTCGGCCCTGCATGAACAGCGCGTTGACTTGATTTAGAAAGTGTAGAGCATAGTCCGTGCACATTGATTGAATGATAAGTTCCTAGTCGATCCAGATGTACGACACTGACATGCTCCGACTGGGCATGGAGTTTGGACGCATGATCACAGCCGCCCTCATAGGTGGGAACAGATCAACACCGAGGCGCCCTTCTGTCCATGGTTGATGCGAAGAGCCCAAATGTAGTACTGATATGTACGGACCGCTTGCCTTGGGACGAGCTGCCTCGCGCACAGCCTGGCCCTTGCTTTTTCTTTATCTCATATGCTCGCTGACTATAACCACATATATTATATGCCGTGATTCCATCCGGGTCGGACCCCACCTCCGGTTGAAAGGCCATGCTATTCTTTACTTCTGGATTGGTGATCTGACTGTATTGTAGGGCTCACGCCGTTGTGGATCCTTTTATATATCTAGACGTGGTATACGAAAGACATCCGGACATCCCAAGCCCAAAACAAATACCATGACAGTGCCACCACACCAACGATATGCCATCGGGTTCACAGAGCGTGTCTGCTCCGTCGTCTCTCTGATCGGAACGGCTGTCATCGTCATCTCCTTCCTCTCTTCGCCTTCCTTCCGCAAGCCCATCAACAGGCTGGTCTTCTTCGCCTCCTGGGGCAACATGATGACCAACATCGCGACTATTATCTCGGCAACAGGGATGCAAGCAGGGATCAACACGCCTCTGTGTCATTTTCAAGGCTTCTTGATTCAGTGGTATGTCAATCGTCCCTAGCTGTCTGACCATGTCTTCTCAGCCAGCGGATTCACAGGTTCATGCCGGCCGATGCGCTATGGACGTTCGCCATGGCCTGCAACGTCTACCTCACATTCTTCCATAAGTACAACTCAGAACGGCTGCGCCAGCTAGAGTGGAAATATCTGCTCTTCTGCTACGGCCTCCCGTTCATCCCAGCTTTCACGTATCTCTTCGTCGTGAGCGAAAGCCGAGGGGCTATATACGGCTCAGCCACCGTGCGTCTCCTTCTAAACCCAACCCCACAGCCGCCAGCTCGAATGCAAACTAACCAATCACTATAGCTCTGGTGCTGGGTCTCAGACTCCTGGGACTTCCTCCGCATCGCAACCTTCTACGGCCCCGTGTGGTTCGTAGTGTTCCTTACATTCGTCATCTACGCACGCGCCGGCAGCGTCATCTACAAGCAGCGGCGCCAGCTAGAGGAGATCGGCGGGCACGACTCCGCCCTCGATGTCGAGAGACCCCTCCGACGAGGGTTAACCAGAACGACCGAGATCCGCATCACAAGCGAGCCAACGCACAGGGACACCGAAGCGGTCCGGACCGTGGCGGCCGTCGTGTCGAGTCGGGTTCAGTCGCTGTACGACCCTTACTCGGTTTCCATTGAGGGGGGCGGTATCGCCAGGCCGGAGTGCTGCGTTGCCGCTTCAAAGCAGGTTGATCAGAATGACCTCGAACAGTGTTTTACTGCTACTACTATTGCTTCTCCTCTTTTTCCTTCTCCTCCACCTCTTCCACCTATTACTCCTCTACCTCAACGCCGCCGTATGCGCTCAGACGCTAGCTCCGCTGCGTGGGTGTACACCAAGTACGCCATTCTTTTCTTCTGCGCGATGCTAATTACATGGGTATGTATCCCCGTAACATGTCCTCGCCGAGCGCCCACAAGATTACTCACTCACGAATATGATCATACGCAGGTCCCATCAACAGTCAACCGAGCGTATGGGATCTTCCACCCCGGGGATTTCAACTTTGCATTGAATTACGTGTCGAGCTTTGTGTTGCCGCTGCAGGGGTTCTGGAATAGTATCATCTATGTGTCGATATCGTGGCCGGCTTTTAAAGAAGCGTTTGCGCGTTTGAAAAAGGACCGGTTGGCGGGGTCGAGTCAGGGCAGCGCTATGGGTGTTAGGGAGAGGGCTGGGGGGAGGTTTCATGCTCAGCCTTGGGGGGTGGATGAGAGGGAGTTGTTGTCAGATTAGTTGGTTATTGTTAGATTTCCATAAATAGGGTTAATTTCAAGTACAAAATATATATATAAACTTCAATCGCATTGACTTTTTTATGACATTGGGAGTGTATGTGGCTGCTATACTGGATGCTGTAATATGTACATATATGTATAGACAATGATCATCTAATTAAAATAATCATGGTATTTACATATGCCTACTCTTGCAACCATATAACTAAACCATCGCCTGCCATTCAGGTCTATACAGATCACGTGTCCCACGCGTCCCGAGGCGGATCCTTATCGCAACCCGCGCGACGCTTAATACAACAACACCTCCACCCAATCCCTCGCGCGAAAACCAAAACCTCCCAAAAAGAGAAACCTCCAAATCAACTCTGCCAACGAGCCACACACAAAATGCCCGACCAGTTAAGCACGACCAGCCAACGCCGCCGCGCCTCACGCGCAGCAGCAGCATCCCCCTCCCCGCCGCCCCCAGCCCCCGTCGCTCAAACGCCCGGCCCCCGCGCATCGCGTCTCCAAGCCGTCTTCGAGCAAGCCCTGGCGCGCACACTGCGCGCGAACTCCTTTGCGAATTTCTCGGGGTGTTTTCCTACCCCGGCGACTCATGTCCCGGGGAGTTTGGAGTCCGTGTGGAGGCAGTTGAATGCGAAGCTGGAGGAGAGTGCCAAGGCGGAGTTTGAGGATATTCTGCATGAGAGGGATGCGATTGGGCAGTTGAATGAGCTTGATCGGTTGGTGGGGGAGGCGAGGTTTAGGAGGGATAATTATGATAAGGAGGGGGAGGGGGAGGGCGGGGTTGTTGCGTATGTTTTTCTCTCTTTTTCTTTCTTTCTTTTCTTGGATTGTTGGTGGATGGCTAATTGTTGGTATTTTGCAGACCGCATACACTCTCCCCGGATGAACTGTACAAGGCCCGTCTTGCGCCCTACCTGCAGGAAGCGCAGGAGGCTCTCGATGTGAAGATCGAGACGACGCATGCTCAGAACGAGGAATTATCGCAGAAGGTCCAGGCCCAGCGGATGGAAATCGATAGTCTGTTGAAGAATCTGGAGGCCGTGGTTGGTGACCTTGAGGGCGCTGCTGCTGCTGCTAGCCAGTTTACTTCGGAGAATGATCTCCGTAAGGATGCGATCCAGATGGAGGAAGAGCTGAGGACGCGGTCTGAGAAATGAGGGGTGGACGAAGGTTTTTGTCCTTGTGCATGGGAGCGGAGAGATGGTAGTATGGGTAGGTACACTTTTCTTTTTCCTTCTTCGTTCTTTTGGTTCATGAGGTTGATTCCATTATTTGGTCGGTTCTTACAGTGACAGCTATATTACAACAACAAGGCTTCCATATCTGCCGGGGGTATCCATCCGTCTTCCACCACGTCTTCGGCCACCGCCAACAGCTCCTTGGGAGCTGTAGCCTTGAGATTGGCCAATTTCTCTTTTTCACCGCCCAACGCAGCCGCAATAGCCTCCTTGCATGTCGCGTCTCGTTCCTCGTCTGTGGCTCCGTCCCTGCGGGCGAGAGCGGCCGCGCCGCGGTAGTACGTCTGGGCATTCCGGAGAAGGACGGCGCCATTCTGCTGGGCGGTTGGGTACTCCCACGGCGACATGCCGAGCTTCCATCGGTTCATCTCCCCGTCGCCCCTGGCTAGGTGGATCTTGGGCAGGTTCTCGGCGCTGGGAAGCTTGGTGGCTTTGGTCAGGCTGTCCAAGGCTGCCGAGAGTGCTTCCCATCGCAGAGTCAAAGCATTCGCAAAAGCGTCAGGCCCTTGGGACGGCGGCAAGTCGCCAACTGCGGTGTTGAATGCCAAGAGCGCATCCGCCTTGCTGCAGAGACCGTCGGGGTCGGACGAGATATCCAAGTCGGGACCGTACGCGCGGCTGATTACCTGGGAGTACGTTTCGACGTCGATCCTCTCGCCGCGGTAGAGGACTTCGTTCAGGGCGCAGGCGAATTTGGCCCGGGCCAGGTACGCCTCGTACTGTCTGTTCGAGTCCGCGACGTAGGCTGTGATCTTCTCCTGGAGCGAATCGGATGAGTACTCTTCGACCCAGGCCAGCCCGACGCCGGGATCGAAGGTCAGCAGATTGCAGAGCGCTGTCAGCGTGTCCAGCTGCGCCACGGCGGTGTCGACTAGGGTATCCTTGGTGATGGGCTCCACGATGGCGGCCCACTGCTCCTGTTCCGGTTCTTCGGAGGGCTTGTCCTCGCCTGCGGGCTCGACGTTCGATTGCGACTGCTGCTCCGGGACGTCCATCTCACCGGACTGGATCTGCTTGATATGCTCCTGCATCTCGGTATACCGCATCTCCTGCAGCAGCAGACACCGCTGGAACAGCTCGACAGCCTCCTGCAGGAAATTGGCCGCCTGGGAAAGCCGGTCCCCGGAGGGATGCTTGGTATCGGTGATGGCCTCGGCCAGACTGGTCAGAACCTGGGCGGTGTTGAACAGGGTGTCTGCGTTGTCTTGCTCCATGGTTAGGGCGTCGCGGTGGGACTTGAGGGTGATGTTGAGGATGTCGACCAAGGGAGCAGGCAGCTGGGAGGCGAGTTTGGGGTGTTGGGTGATTTCATATTGGACGCGGGCTCTGGTAGTTGTCAGTTATGGTTTAGGGTCCATAGATGAATTGACTAGATTGGTGACTGGGATTGAACATACTTGTTGTACGCGAGATCAAAAGCATCGGGGTGCTTTTTCAAGCCCTCGTCGTAGGTAGCGATGGCGCGCATGAAGAAGCGCATGGATTTGGCGGCGTCGCCGGCGCGCCATTTCTCGCCTGCTTCTTCCTGTTCGACGCCGACTACTGGGGTTAATATGATATTCAGATATCATGGTTATAGTTGGATGGAATCCGATCAGGAAGACTAGACATACCGGCTAAATACTCATCGGCTGTCTCCGGGCCCTAATCATTACGGTCAGCCATCCCAGATGAGAGGCAGCTCCGGGGGACAGTAGAGGGGAAAGACTAACCTTCTGGACCGCCGCTTTCTTCTTCAGCTTCGGCTCTCTCAAATAAGACTTTGGTTTAGGCATGGTGGATATCAATCACGCAATTCAGTATTGTTTTACTTTCTTTCTTTCTTCCTTCCTTTCACTTATTATTGTTTAATATTGTGTTGTCTGTCTTTGGATCGGGGAGCCAGATGGGGAAAAAAAAAGAATGACGTCTGTTTTAATCGGTTTATTTTCCGTATTTTCATTTCGGGTTCGTTATCAATCACCGTGGGGTTTTCTTACACCGCCAACCACACCGCTCGGTCTATTATCATCTTATGGACATTTATGTATGGCGTGGTTTAAGGCATTGATCTGTTTGATATGATGGATACCTGAGGATTGGGATCTATATCAACCAGTAGGTAGGCCTATATATTGACCAGAGATATTAGACCACAGGCTAGTTAACCACAGGAGTCAAGTATGGTAGGAATTGACCATGTAGGATAATCCTAATTATACCCAGACGAACAGTAACTACTAGTTACTGATGATTATCTAGTTGGTTAGCATACTGATCAACATCCGCAAGTGGGCGATGTAAGACATGACCATACCACACAGACTACGGAAGGGTCATGTCGATCTTCCACCAACAGCTTTGAAAGAAAGGATTTCCATTCTTCAGGATCAGTAATTCATAGTAATTAATACCTCACACATGCTAGAGATATGTCGAGTAAAAATCTCTGAAGAAGGGCTAGACAGGTTAGTGCTGAGTTAAGGAATCAACATGGCCAATACTGGGTCAGATGCTAACCGTCCTCGGCTGATGCTCGCGTGGCTTTGAGGCACGTGGCGGAGAATCCTGGTTATTTTATCCAGTTATTATTCTTATTTATTTTCTTATCCTTCTGATTGTTACTCTTATCCTTGTTCTTATCCTTGTTCTTATCCTTGTTCTTGTTCTTGTTCTTGTTCTTGTTCTTCTTAAGTCATGATTAGATTATGATAATTATTATTATCATTAATATTCTTAATATGGTCTGTTGGCCTGTCGATATAAGAATATAACCTGTCACTACCATTCTAATTATATATATATAAAGATAGAATTATCACGAAAGAATAACAAAAACGGATAGGAGGTGGCATGACAGGATACTACTAATTAGTACTAATAGATTTTGAATGATTTCCCCACGTCTTGCTCCGGCTTCAGTCCTTAATTGATCGTCCTTTCTTTTACTTTTCTCGGCTGATTGTCATTTTACTTTCTTTTTCTTCTGTTTTCTTTTCTTGGTTGTTGGTTCTGATTCAGACTGGTCTCTAACTTCTGTCCCTTAATGTTATTTGAACATATCGGTCTCCCCCTTTATTCCTCCGTAGGGATTGAGGATATAGGATATCTGGATTCCTTCATATTAAACCCTCATAACAACTCAACCTGTATTAACCTGTATAAACAAGTCCACAGATATTTATCTATAATCCCACAGGGAAAACCCACCGACAATCATCCACAATCATCCCAAGTTAGGCTGTTTCGCATGGCCGAGTGAGGTTAAATCAACTGAGACCCACCCACGCTCACCCATGGCTTGTCTCACTCACTCACTCACTCTCTCTCTCTCTCTTTCTCTCTCACTTCTCGTTCTCTTTTTCCCTCCTTTGCCGCCCCCCTCAATCTCTTCTCCTGACTACTTTCAAATACCTGTCTCCCCCCTCTAGTTGCTGAATTCTGATTTCTTCCCCAATTTCTCCTCCTCGGTTTTCCCCCTCTCTTCCCCCCCCAATTTTATCCCTCCTATCTGTTGGTTTAGGTAAGGATAGGCGCATGATGTCTTTTCCCGCGTTCAGTCAAGGTTCCTGCTACAACGGCAGTCGATGATTAAATGCATCTGCACCCTGGCACATTCTCATCTCCCGTCAATTTAATCTATCCATACCCACTTTCTTCACCCTACGACGAATAATTCCGTCTATGCCATTTATCCGATTTAATCAGACTAACATGTCGGTCGCAAACTATAGGTATCCTACAATCCGACCGACCAACTTCCACGATTCGCAACTCTCTTTTCCCCCACCTGACGAACCGGTGAATCACTCTCAAAAAAAAATAAAATAAAATAAAACAAATTAGCGATGGCAAGACACACTTCCCTGGACTCTGAGCGACCCATCATGGCGCAGTCCGTAAGTGAATCAACAGTCACAACGTACGCGCCGCCTATGGTCTCCGTCTGACAGCTTGCGATCTAGAACCGAGCCTCCAAGCGATTCTCCACCGTGAGCGGCGCCCCCTCGATGGTCTCGTCGAACGGAAGCATCGCCAGCGGCGATCCCCGCATCGCCGAAGTCCGTAACCTCCGCGACGGCCTCGAGCGCCTGGAGAACAAACCCCTGACGCAGCAACGTTTCGTCCCGACCGCCGAGAAGACCGATAGCATGGGCAAATTGGCCTTGGGCGCCAAGGTGGAACGTGCTCTGGGCCGCCGAATGACCAGCCAGGATGCGGTGATGCGGAAACCGGTTCTGAGCGAAAAGCCTATCAGCAAGGTCACTGGCCATTAAGCATCTATTCCTCTTCTGTCTTTTACCTGCCTTTCTCGTCTCTTTTCTCGTCCTCCCGTTTCTTTGATTCTTGTTTTGCAATCCTCTGTTTCTTTTGATACCTCTTGCGCTTGGTTTCCGTTCTGGTCCTTTTGAGTTTGTTCTGTCTGCACGTGTTTGCCCGAGTGTATTTCTGTTGACTGTCAATCCGTCATCTCCGTCATCTCATACCCCTCCCTTTTTATTGATACTCTTATTTATCATTATGTTCAAACCTGCTCTTTTCCATGATTGGTATCTTGTTTCCTAGTGTTGCGAAGATTGGTTTTGGGCTGTACAGGATAGTGTGGCCAATCTTCCGCCACTGGCGATGTAAGGTGTCTTCTGCATTCACCAGTGTCCAGTCCCGCCATGTTGATAGAGCTACAGCGGTTCGGGTATCACCCCACATGATTATAGAAGAATTGGATCCCATGAACCGCCTGCCTGCGAAAAACGGAAATTCAAAACTTAGAGACCTGTGCCTTTTAACTCTCTGTCTCCTGTGGATTCCAGCAAAGCATGGATCATGATGCATCACCGCAATCATTGTATAGTATGTATACTCAACTCATGCCAGTTGAGAACACTGTAGGACTTCCTTCTACAATGACGCTGTCAACCCGCCGACTCGGGCGCGTCCGTCCCAATGCAGCAGGCGGTGAGCGACAGCACGGCCGGGAGGGATCCGCCGCACTTGCGGGTTCGATTGATTCTTCCGACTTTTGACCTCAACTTCTTCTTCTTCTTCTCTTTCAATCACATCTTGTCTTTCTCACCTCTTCTCTTCACTCTGTCAAATCTCTCTCCCTTCTCACCTTCCACCTATCCATTTCACTCAATCTCAAACCTTCTGCTTCACTCTTCCTTCTTATCCTTGCTAGACTACTCAGTCGACCCTCTCCCACTATCCATACTCGATCTTCTAGTCGTGTTTTTCATTTTCGTCCCCAGTGATTCCCTCGGTCTGTAACAATCCTATCAGGATCACACAACAATCTTCCTCCCCGGAACTCTTCACCTTTCTGTTATCCACCGACACCGCGCCTTTTTCCCTTCTCCTTCTTTTCTTCTTCTCTTCTTCTTCTTTTTTTTTTTCTCTCTCTCTCCTTTTTCTTCTTCTTCTTCTTCCTTTCTTACAAAAGGACATCCACTTTTGCTGCATCTCTTGGGGTCTTGTGGCTTTTTCTCTTGAGCATTGTGAGCCACCCTTCCACACTACTCGCAAATCCGCACACACCCGCCCACGCGCCCACACACACCTCGACTCCTCCCCCAATTAATCCCCTACAGATCCCGGATCTTGGCTCGAAATACTGACCCGGCTTCTTCACAGTCTAGCGATCGGGGAAAAGTTTTATTCTTTGTTTCTTGTGTCTAGATCTCTTCTCCTCTACTCTTGCCACCCTAGACACTTTTCATTCTAGATACCTTTTTTTTTTTTTTTCCTTTTGGCATTGAGCTCTTGTTACTCGGCTCCACCCAAACGTTTCGCCTTTCGAACGACAATTTCAATTTCTACACCTCAACTTTTTCTCCAATTTTCTCCAATTCCTTTCACCATGGCCGACACTGCCCAGGTTCCCGTCAACGGCACCTTCCCGGCGCAACACGTCTACCCGGACTCCTACAGCCACGTCCCCGCCCCCATGAACAGTGCGGCGAATTTCCAGCCGGCGCCCTCCTCCACCCCGAGCAATGCGCCCGTCCCCGACCAGAAGAACAGCATCTCCAAGGATGAGGTTGGCTGGTACTTTGTCGAGCAGTACTACACCAACATGAGCCGCAGCCCGGAAAAGCTGCACCTCTTCTATTCGCGCCGCTCGCAGTTGGTCTTTGGCACCGAGGCCGAGTCCGTTCCCGTCGCCGTCGGTCAAAAGGTGAGTTCATCTCTTTCCACTGCCCTCTTGGACTATGGTTTTTACCCCAAATGCATTGGACTGACCGTGGCCTTCAATCCCCCTCTAGGCCATCAACGATAAGATCAAGCAGCTGGACTTCCAAGAATGCAAGGTCCGTGTCCTCAACGTGGACTCCCAGGCCTCGTTCGACAACATCTTGGTCTCGGTCATCGGTGAGATCTCCAACAAGTCCGAGCCCTCCCGCAAGTTCGTCCAGACCTTCGTGCTGGCCGAACAGCCCAATGGCTACTACGTGCTCAATGACATCTTCCGGTACCTGGTGGAGGAGGAGGAAGAGGTCGTGAACGAGGAGTCGGCCCCCGCCCCGGCCGCGGCCCCTGCGGCCCCTGCCGAGAAGCCCGCCGTCGAAGCTGTGGCCCCGGCCGCCGAGGAGGCCGCCCCGGCCGCGGTGGATGACGCCCCCGCCAGCGAGGAAGCGGTCGCCGCGGTCCAGGCTGAGGAGAAGGTTGAGAAGCCCGAGGAGAATGGCGCCGAAGTGCAACCGGAGGCACCGGCCCCTCAGACCAACGGAGCTCAGGTTGAGGCGGCTACGGAGGTTGCCAAACCGACCGAGCCCGAAGTGGTCCAGCCCGAGAAGCCCGCCACCCCCGAGCCCACCCCCGAGCCCACCCAGGCGCCGGTGCAGGAGGCGCCCGCACCCGCCAAGGAGAATGTGCCCCCCGCCCGCGCGGTTCCCAAGACGTGGGCCAACATCGCGTCCAAGATTACCGGTGCGGCGGCTCCCGTCGTGCCGGCCGTCCCCGCCGCGCCCGCCGCGCCCGCTAAGCCTGCTGCTGCTGCTGCTGCTACTGCTGCCCCTGCTGCCGCTGCCGCTCCTACCGCTCCTGCCAGTGGCTCTGCGCCCGCCCCGGCGGCCGCCCCCGCCGCGGCTCCGGAGAGCACCCCGGCCCAGCCGTCGACTGATAGCGCGGGGTGGCAGACGGCCGGCCACGAACACAAAAAGACCCAGTCCCGTGCGGGTGAGGAACAGGGGGTCCAGGCGTACGTGAAGAACGTGACCGACAAGGTGGACGCGTCTTTGCTGCGTCAGGCCCTTTCCCGCTTTGGCAAGCTCAACCACTTTGATGTGAGCCGCACCAAGGTAAGTCGAACTCCCCATATTCCCTCCACCGAACGCCCTCTTTAACTGACGTTTCCTCCCTAGAACTGTGCGTTTGTCGAGTTTGCGGACGCCGCTGCCTACGCGGCGGCCACCGCGGCCAACCCCCACCAGATCGGCACGGAGAAGATCTACGTGGAGGAGCGGCGCCCGCGTGCTAGCGCCTACGGTAATGCCAACTACGGCGCGGGACGCGGTGGTGCTGGACGCGGCCGTGGTGACCGTGCCGGCAGCCAGGGTCGGGGTGGTTTCCAGCGGGATGGCCGTGGCGGGTTTGCTCCTCGCGGCCGGGGCGGCCACGCGCACGCTAAGAGCCGCAACCAGTCCCAGGGAGCTTAAGCAGTGACCCCCAAGGTAAAATCAATAAATTCACGCAAAAGACAGAAAACAAAAAAGAAAAAAAAGCAGGGTTTCAAGGGAAAGGGGCATTCCGACGGCGCAGAACCAACTGTCCGAGCCCAAGCATATCGGACAGAAAAAAGAAAGACCGAAAGAGGCAAATATACACAGGCAGTTGAGGAAAAGGCCCGGCCATCTCAAGGCACCTGGAGAAGAGAAAAGGCTGTGCTTTGAAGGACAGGCGGTTGCTTCTGCTCGTTTCTTTCGTTCCCTCTGTTTCTTTTCTTCATCTTCATCTTCATCTTCTATTATTTTTTTCCTTTTTTTTTTTTTTAGCCCTTCATCCTGGGTGGCATGGGTTCTGTACCCGGCGAACCAGGACATGTATTACTCGGAATTACTGATAATGACATGTGTTACGTGACCCAGCACCGGCACGATGCATCTTAGCGGTTGGAAAAGTTGTTCTTTTTCATGACCGGTTTTTTTTTTTTTTTTTT